ATAATCATAAGGAAGGGATACAGGAGGAGCTGCTCACTCACCCATAAATAGGGTTCATGTGATGGGTTCCCATTAAATCAATATTCCTAATCCCACTTTCCAACCAGGAACCACATGATATTTTTCATATAATAAATAAATGAAATGTATATAAACCAAAACTTATATTAAAATAGTCACAGATGATCCCTCTTTGATTTATTTTTTATCTAACCTATCGTTTATGAGATTAAAACTCAAAATATTTTCAACAAAATTGAGATTGAGCAACGGTGGACCAAATATTCAGTAAGAAATAGAAAAAGAAAACCATGGAGGAAACTTTATAGCTCATTGCATGTACACATTATGCCTTGCTTTTAATTATAGGTCATGTGTTGGGAGCGGGAGTCGGTGCGTCTGCAGACTGAATTTATTTTGCGGGTCAACGTTCACTATCATAGTTACTTCATAATAATTCTATTGCATGCCCATATCATCATTAGTTTTTACTAACAAATAATATTATTTATAAGAGTTTTTATCACAAATAGTTATTGAAATTGACCATCACCGTTAAGATGGTCATTGAAATTGAAAATCAATCAATATAGCTTTTGAAATTGAAAATTAATCAATGTAGCTTTTGAAATTGAAAATCAATCAATATGGTTATTCCGTCACAATTCTATTAACCGTTAAGTGCTGATGTGACACATAAATGGGTCCCATAAGTCCTTTTTTTTTGTCCTTAAAATTGACCTGCAACATCAAAATGGTTCTTGAAATTGACCTGCGATATCAAAATGATTCTTGAAATTGAAAATCGATCAATGTAGTCTTGCAAGTAAGTTTCCCAAATCTTCAGAGTAGGTCCTACTATAAGAAAAAAAAATTTCATTGTGCAAAAAGGTATTTAGACAATTTTTTAATTAATTATTAAATTCACATCAGCACATAACAAATTTTTTTACAGAATTGTGGCGGAATGATCATATTGATTTGCGACACCTATTTTCAGGACTACATTAACCAATTTTCAATTTAGGGACCATCTTGATGGTGTAGGTCAATTTCAGGGACCATCTTGATGGTGTGAGTCAATTTCAGGAACCATTTGTGTTAAAAACTCGTAAATCTTGTAGGGCCTATTTATGTGCCACATTAATTGATTTACAACACCTATTTTCAGGGATTACATTGATTGATTTTCAATTTCAGGGACCATCTTGATGATGATGGTCAATTTTAGAACCATTTGTGATAAAAACCCTTTTTAATATAATGAAAATAAAGTATAAAGGACAATTTGTCAAAATTGCTGACAAAGAACCTTCTCCTAGTTATAGTATAGATAAATATGTCCACTAAAAGGTATCTAGTAAGAAAATATTTTTGTATAAATTGAAAGAAGCTCATCCTAAGTTAAAATTTTCAAATTGGACAAACTGGAAACAGAAAAATATAGAAGAAAGTCGCGTGCTAAACAAACTTAGATTCAATCAAGTTAGCAAATATATAAACGCAAGTTTGAATCCTCATAAAGGAAATGTACAAAGGACAATTTGTCAAAATAGTGGACAAAAAGCCTTCTCTAAATTATAGTATAGATAAATGTCTTCTTCATTATAGTATAAATAAATATTTAAAATAAAAAATCTAGTAAAAAATTCTTTTTTTACGAGTTAAAACAAGCTCATCCTAAATTTAAAATCTCAAATTGGACAGATTGGACACAAAATAAATAACGATGAAAGTAAATTTCAGCTTATTCAAGTTAGAATAGGAAGTGTGGTATACCCCCTGTGTTTCAAGTTTTCAACTTTGAATCATCATTCCCTTATAGTTTAGATGAAGTTACTTTATATTATTTCTCTGAGTCTATTTATTTATCTATTTTAATTTAACTAATGTCATCTTTACTTGTAAGTGAGAAGTCTAAGGTTCGATTCTCGTCAAAGGAAAATTTGAATAACGTTATTGATAGCTTATTGTGAGGTTAAGCCCAACCTTCTTCTTATTGTAAATAAGGGGTTTTATCACAAATGGTCCTTGAAATTGACCCTCACCATCAAGATGGTCCCTGAAATTGAAAATCAATTACCTCAGTTTATGCTCAATTACTCTTTTCCAAAATTTTATTGTATGACTCATAACTTAATATTCCTATAGTTCATGCAGTTTTATATGTCGGCCTTATTCTTGTAAATAGGCACCAAAGTGCTTTTTTGCCACTCGTTTGGCATCTTTTTCCTTTTCAAAATCTTATTCAAAAGGTTTGTGAGTCATGCTATACCCGACTCTCCCAAGACCTTCCACCACTTTGATCGGTATATCGTCTATAATCACTTCCTCTTTCCTGGTTTTGCGATAAAAGGAGTAATTTCTATACTCATTTGAGTTACTCAACTTACCCAAAGAAGTACTCTTTTCGTGTCCTTCATTGAAAAGATTATGAAAATAAGCCATCCATCTTTAACCGCGTTCTCCGTAGCTAGAACATTTCCATTCTCATCCTTCTTGCACCATGCTTGGTTCAAGTCTCTTGTCTTCCTTTCCCTTGCTCTAGCCAATTTATAGATATCCAACTCTCCTTCTTTGGTATCTCTCGCTTATACATGTCCTCAAAAGTCAATAGTTTCACTTCTCTTGCAACTTTCTTTGTCTCCTTATTTGCTCTTATACCTCTTACATTTTACATCGTTTTATACTTGTATAAGGCTTTACAACATTTGTTTTTAGCATTAACCCTTTCTTGTGCCTCATCTTTTCACCACCAAGATTACTTTTGATGTGAAGAGAAAGCCTTGGGCTCTCCTAATACCCCTTTTGCAACTTTTGGATACAACTAGCCATGAAATTCCACATTTGGATAGTGTTCCCCTCTATATCCCAAATACCTTAGGCGAATAATTTCTTTTTGAAACTAACTTGTTTTTCTCCTTTTAGATTCCACTATCTAGTTCTTGGACACTTCGAGGTCTTGTTATTTCTTTTTATCTCTTTTGATATGTGCATCCATTACCAACATTCGATGTTATACGATCATTACAAGTTATACGATCCTTCTTCCTAATTAAAAGGAAACCTATTTATTTGTTGATGACCCACTCTTATAAGTGATCACATGCTCCTATCTTCTTAAAGAAGCTATTGGCTATAAAGAGATTGTATGCCGTAGTAAAATCTAGAATGGCTTTCCCCTCCTCGTTTCTCTCCCCAAAATCATGACCATCTATTTATTTGTTGATGACCCACTCTTATAAGTGATCACATGCTCCTCTCTTCTTAAAGAAGCTATTGGCTATAAAGAGATTGTATGCCGTAGTAAAATCTAGAATGGCTTTCCCCTGTTTGTTTCTCTCCCCAAAATCATGACCACCATAACAACCTCTAAAGTTTCACGTCTCCTTGCCTACATGTCCATTTAAATCTTCTCCTATGAGTAACTTCTCTGTCTGAGAGATTCCTTGAACCAATTCTTCAAAATCTTCCCAAAATTTATCCTCCAGACTCTTATCCAACCCCACTTGAGGTGCATACGTGCTAATCACATTGATGAGTTCTTATCCTATTACAATCTTGATTGCTATAATTCTATCTCCAACCCTCTTAACATCTACAACATCTTTTGTTAAAGTCTTATCCACGATGATGCCAACACCGTTTCTCAATATGTTTGTGCCTGAATACCAAAGCTTAAAACCTATGTTTTCGAGATCCTTTGCCTTAAGACCAACCCACTAAGTTTCTTGGAGGCACAAAATACTTATCCTTCTTCTTACCATAACTTTTACTACTTCCATGGATTTTCCCAATAAGGTTCCTATATTCCACGTTCCTAAATGTATTCTACTCTTTCGAACCCTACACTTATGTTCTAACTTCTTTGACCTCACCCATCTAGTAACGTTAAAATTCTTCTTTTGCATGTCCTAGGTAAAGTTAGTGTCAACAGATGCTTCCAAACAACTTCAGTGGAGATACAATGACCCTTGATCACTTATCATTGTGCCCATGCCTCACAACGCATCACTTCTAGGTAATGACCTGGCTTTAGCACTTAGGATTCATTACATAGGGATTCAATGTGAAAAAACAGAGTGCAGACGTCGACTACCTAACACACTCTCCCTCTTTCTTTATCCAGGCTTGGGACCAATATCATAAGATAAACTTACACATGCATAATTATATAAAATTGGTTGGATGACAATTGACAAGTAATTAATCTATAAATTTGAGAACATGAAAATATGATTGGACAATGCTTGACTCCAAACTTTTAAGGAGTGATTTCTCTATGTATCTTGTTTGGAAGTGTTTTTTCAAATGACTGAAAGTACTTTTGGTGAAATTGTTTTTAGATTTCAAAAAGCCAATGAAGTGCTTTCTGCAAGAAGCGTCCAGTTATGTGCTTTTTGCATGTAGTACTTTAAGTGTTTTTTTCAGGATTCACTTACATTTTTACTAAAGATTAGTTCCAATGCACTTTCACCAAAAGTATTTTGAGTCATTTTAAAAGCACTTCCAAACAAGCCCGTAATTACTTGATATCATCTCATCGTACGAACGTCATAATCCAAACCATTTATTCTCTTGTATTTAGAAAATTTCATTCGATTTGAAAATTGTTCAGACATTCATATGAATCAAGCAATTTTACGGTTAAGGATGGGATATTACTTGTATTATAATTGTTAATTTGTTCGACGCGTATAAATGATTAAATAATATCGTAATTAAATGAGTTTTGTAGAGATAATTTTAGAAAATGATAAAAAGAAAATAAATCATTTTATATAACGGTCGTATAGTTAACTGATGACACGTCCTCTTATAAAAGAAAACAACTCCTTACATATTAAGAGCAAAGTAATTTTTTTTTTTTGAACAAAAGAGCAAAGTATTATCCATTATAAATTTATAATTACCTGTCTTTTGCCTTTTTCTCACATCCTATGTTTAAAGAAAGGAATTAAAAGCAGCCATGATCCTGTCACAAATAGTGTTGGCCTTTCCTTTCCTTTCCTTTCCTTTCCTTTTTCTTTTGAGTTTTTTATGTCTCATATGAACTGGCAAAGCAGATAAACAAGGCAAGCCTGAAGGTTTTCTGTCTCAATCTTCTACCTCTTTCCTTTCTCAAGATGCAGTTTTCAAGGCATTAAATTCATTTCTCTTCTTTCCTTAGCTTCCTTCTCATTCTCAACTTCTCAAGTTTTTCCCATTTACAAAATTCTAACAAGAAAACACAGTTCAAATAGCCAAACCAAACCAGACAGATCCATTTCTCCAAACCCTTCAGATCCCTCTCTCTCTCTCTCTCTCTCTCTCAAAAGCTCTCTCTCTCTCTCTCAAAAGTAGTGCCTGCCTGCCTGCAGGATTTTGTTTATTGGGTTAGAAACTTAGAATTGTTTGTTTACACAATGAGAGACATAGTTTCTTGTTTCAATGAAAATGCAGTGAACGTGTCTCATCCTTCATGTTCTAGCTATGCAAACACTGCTTGTGTTTCTCCAAACTTAACTCCTTCAGTCCAAAATGCAGTCTCGTGTGTCTACAGAATCACTCTCTCCTCCGCTCAAAAGCAGCTCATGGTTACAGTCTCCTGGTGCAAAAACCACTATGTACAAGGGTTGACCATTAAGCTAGCGGATGATCCATCAGCAGCATCCTTCAAGTTGAACACGAATTCGCGTATCTTCCGAAAGAAGAAAGGCACCAAAGTCATCGAATCCGATAAATCGAGGATGGAAATCTTTTGGGATCTCTCAAGAGCAAAGTATGATGTTAGTGGTCCTGAACCTGTTGAGGGATTTTACATTTTGGTCTTGGTTGATTCAGAAATAGGCCTAGTTCTAGGTGACATGGCTGAAGAAGCTGTAAGCAAGAAGTTCAAGACTAGTAGTGTTGCAAAAGCCTGTCTTGTTTCGAGGCAAGAGAATTGTTCCGGAAATGCTCTTTATTCCACAAGAGCTCAATTCTGTGACACAGGCATTGCACATGACATTTTGATAAAATGTAGTGGAGAAAATGAAGGCTTAAAACATCCGGTTTTATCTGTTTGCATTGACAAAAAGACGGTGATCCGAGTAAAGAGGCTGCAATGGAATTTTAGAGGGAATCAGACAATTTTTGTTGATGGGTTGCTTGTTGATCTGATGTGGGATGTTCACAATTGGTTCTTCAATCCTTCATCAAGGTATGCAGTGTTCATGTTCAGAACAAGAAGTGGGATGGACAGCCGATTGTGGTTGGAAGAGAAGATGGTGCACAAAGAGCAGGACAAAGTTGAATTCTCCTTGTTGATGTATGCCTGTAAGAGCTCTTAATTAATATGAAATGTTGTCATTAAGTCTTTTCTTTTTTGTTTGTTAATTCTTGACATTTAAGCTTTACTACAACTATTCTTCTAATTTTCCTTTCAAGAGAGAAATAGATAGCCATTCATTTTCATCATTTTTAAGAAAACAAGATAAGTTAATGTTCAAAGGTTGTGATTGTAGATAGATGAATTTGACAAGTTTTGATCTCTCTCTCTCTCTCTCTCTCTCTCTCTCTCTCTCAAAATACTGCATGGCAATTAGAAAATGGTATGCAACCCATTTGTTTGGGTACCTATAGGTATTGAGTGTCGTTGCACGGTTGATCCAACGATAATCCATCATCAATTCCAAGTCATTGGATCAAATTGGTTGCAAAGCGGTAATGAGTTAATTAGTTATGATAGAGGGGTGACTGTAAGGTTTAAATAATTTAACAAAAAGATAGCAAGAGATATGACAGACGATTTGCTAAAAGGCAAGTGGGAATTGTGAGAATCATGTATGATAACTGCTTTCAGGCTTGTAGGAATCAAATAAAGTTGAAAATCCTCCCACATAATAATTAGCCAAATTGAGAAGTACATCTTTTAAGCAAGGGAAACATATGATTGATTAGTATATATAGCTTAATAGGACTTTGCAATATTAATGCTTACTTTTATTGTTTATTTGGTATCAAAACTAATGAAAATTTCACTTCTTTTCCCATTTTTTTTGGCAAATTCTGTTTTTATGAATACAAACAAATTAACACTGCATGCATCCTTTGTGTAGTATTTAAATTTTAATTTATTACATCATAGTATCCCACCTTGTTAGCACCTTTTTCTTGACTTGTCAGGAAAAATTGGACAAATCCAATTTAGTCCAAGAAGCCAACTCTATCAGGCTTTGCTTGAATGATATAGGGTGTGATTATGAAGAATTGAGTTAGGCAAACAGAACAGTTCAACAACAAATCTTCTTTTTGTTATTTTTCAACAATTCGACTAAATTACTTATATATAGAGAGAAAGAGTCTTTGGGGCAAGTTGTTCATAGCTTTACCAAGAACAAATGCAAAATAGAATTGTCGATGAACATTTGATTTACTTACAATTAGCCTTCCCTTTACCGAACAACAATGTTGTGAATTCAAATATTCCAAACAATTTATTGGTAAGGCAAAATTATCAAAGTACAAAGTAAAACAAGCACTATCTCAGCTTTGCCAAGAACGAATGCTTAACTAGTATGACCAAGTAAATTTTGAAATGGCTACTAAACTGAGGATAGGGCCAAAACTCGTTACATCTCAGACCCACTGGTAGTACAAATCCATGGTCCCCCTTGTCTTTAAACCAACTGTTTTGGTCACTAGCAGAATCGAATGATTGCTTGCCTTCCCAAAGCAACAAAAAAAGCCCTTCCATGGGGTAGATGACCTACAAAGCATAAGGCAATATCTGGATTTTCTAGAGTGAACTTAAAATCTGTAGAGTATACAATTACAGTACTAGAGTCTCCTTCTAAACTTCAGGGTCCAAAAAAATCGTGGCAATTCACTGCTCGATCTTAATCGTTCTTCTAAACTCCAAGATCCAAGAAAATTGTAATAATTCATTGTTCGATCTTAATCCAACGGTGAAGTGGCTATAGTTTTCTTATGTAGTGTATGCATGAGAAGAAGTCCCAATAAAGTAATAAGCAGCCAGGCTGCCTCGCCTTGCTTTGCTAGCTCTCATAATAAAAGGGCTGGATAATTGGATGGCAGGTGTGTACGCGTGTGGTAATATATTGGTGTAAGACTAGTAGATGGATGGATGGGGGCTGCTTTTCATTAAATAGTCTCAAGCCAAATCATGCTCTGACGAAGATTTATGTCCCTGGGCAAGATAAAGATTCAGTGGCATGCATGCATGGAGCGTCTCCAACACAAATTTACAGCTAAGTTAAGGTTGATCTTGGGTCATTTAGTAGGCAGGGGACAACAACCTAAAAACCAAGAGCACAGTACAACTTTAATTATCATGGGAGCATCCACACTACATTTACTACCTTAATTAGTCTGGATTTTGTTGGAGGAGGTTTTGAGTCTTAATTTTTAAATTGGAAAAAAATAAATTTAGTTATTCGTAGATGAAAAGTTGGAATTTGAATTCTCTTCTTTTGTTGTGTAAATAAATCACTTATAATCAAGAGCTATTTCATTAATTGGTGAACAAACATCTGAGCTCTTGCAACATGATTTTATGCAATAAGGGATTGCTAGGCACACACCCTTTTTTAGTGAAACTACTGTAATTTTTTTTTCAACAAAAAAGGAAAAAAAAAAAAAGAAAAAAAAGAAAAAAAAAGACGCTTCTAAGCTAAAATCTAGTTGATAAATACCACACCTTCGATAAACCCTCTATCTCCCTCTCGCAGAAAGACCAAACCTAGCTTATCTCTCTCTTTACTGCCGACTCTAATCTTAGGGTTGGGAGTCGGCGACAACGACAAATATTATGTTCCTTGTAGCCCTTTATCAATATGGCATTTATTTATCTTCTTTTATTAACTTTGGCCCTAGTTTTGGTGCCCTTATCTGAGCTTTTGTCTCAATTTTATGAGCTTCTCTCAGATTTTGGCTTTCATGCCCCTCTCTTACTCAGTAGCCGTTTTACGTCACAAGTCTTCAACCATTAACCTCCACCATTCAACCTATTGGGTGTCTTCTTTCGGCGGAACACTTTGGTGTTGTGTGGTTTTTAAAGTGCTTTTAGCACTATTTGGTAAGATTATGGTAGCGCTAATTGCGTGGGTGGCTCGCTACCCTGTAATACCCTGAAAAGTTTTAAATATATGATTATGAGGAACAAATTTATCGGAAAGTGAAAAGACGAAAATATCTTTCGTTGACTAAATATAATTTTATGAGAATGTATTTTATCCTCATATACTTTATCGTATTTCTAAATATATTTGAATAGAGAACGACCATACAAGAGCATAGGTGCAAACGGATCCTAATTCTGAATTCGAACGAAGAAGTTACGAGCCTCATAAGTAGTGAGACTTTTTAAACATGTGGACTTACTATTAGTAGGGAGTCTATAATTAGTCAGCATGAAAGAATAGGGAAACTTGGGGAAGAGGCCCAAATAACCTAGAAAAACCACCATTCGAACTCCCGCGACCTCCCATTTTACGAGGTCGATTCCGGCCAACTTAGGTAGAATTTTTCGACGCTACCACCACCATCTTGAAGCTTTCACTCTCCTCTACAAAATCCAACCAAGAAACACCTTGATTAGCCACTGTATGTGGCGATGTGAGGCCATAAAAACCGATGAAAACCAATGGTGCTCCGGCCACCTTTTTCATTTTTCCGGTGAATCGGCAAAGCAATGGCCGATGCAACTACTTGGGTTTTGTAGCCCATCATCCCAGGAGTAAATCCCGACCAGCTTTGATCCCGTTGGACCACCGTGGGCCACGAATCGACACCAGGAAGCTTTAGGCACCCGCCGGTTTTATCAATAGAATTAACCCTTTTCCGTCTAGTTTTGGACTTCATGGCAGGTATAAAACTTGTTCCTCTTATTGAGCTCTATCTTTCTGTAAATTTTGGTAGAATATGGAGTTAGACGAAAAAGTGGGTTTCCGATCGTCGAAAACCACCACGCGCGGCGGCATATATGGCGGCGCGTGGGGGAGAATCTGTTTACATGGATTTTGGACAGCGGGACATCCTTGATGTCTTGAGCCCATATCCAAAGTCCGTTAGTTGAAATTTGATGCGATGATTCAAATATTCAAATTTTTGGATAATTGTACAGTTGTACGATTTTTCATAATTGATGACCATTCAACCGTTGGATCGTCACCAAAATTTTAGACATTATAGTACATAATATTTGAAGACCTTAGGAACTTACAGATCGGGAATCTGATGTACAGATTTTTCTGAATTGGATTTGCAAATTAGTAGATTAAAATGTCGACCGCCACTCAAATGTTGTGATTGGCGGAGATCCGACCGTTAGATCGAAATGAAATTTTAGTATGTTGTTCTAGAAGCGTAATGTGAACTATGAATGGCTTGATCCCTAGTAGGGTACGTAAGCAGTGTAACGAGAAGGTTAGATGCAACCATAATAAAATAACTAAGATTAATCTTTTAGTGAAATTTGTTAAGAAAATGAATTTGGGGCCTATCCAAGTAATTAGCTTCCGAATTAGAAATTTCGGGTCATTACACTACCCCCATTGCTTGTTGATCTAGTTGTTTTTGTAGGTTCGTTCCCTTGGTGGTGGCGGCGGCCTTTACATGGAGGCACAACTAACTTGGTGAAGGTTGATGTTTTCCTCTCCAAATTTAGGGCCTTTGTTATTATGGGCTGACTCTTTTTTGGGCCTTTTAATTGTATTTTCTGCAATTGTTCATGTGGAGGCTCCTGAATTTTTCGAATTATTATTGGCTCCACAAGCTGCATCTTACAAAAGATACGTTGCTCGAAAAGTATCACAGATAGAAGCAAGTGGCCATTTACCACAGTGGTAGAAAGAAGTTGAGCCCTTACATGACGGTGTGGGTTCGAACTCCGCCGATGGTTAATCTAACAAAATCTATCGTTTCACAAAAAAAAAAAAAAAAAAAAAAAAAAAAAAAAAAAAAAGAAAGAAGTATCATGGATAAATTAAAAATAAAAAGACAACATGACCCCAGTGAAAACCTTCCCCAAGAAAATTACATAAGAAAAAAACTCTAGAGTGAAAAAAAGAGCGTCACACATAGCACAAACTAAAAACCATAAGTAAGGACGGCTCTTGTTCTATCGGAATTGCACAACTCTGTTTATTATCAGCACCATCGACAGTGCACAGCTTTGCTTATTATCAACACCATGAAAGTTAAAGAATGTAGAGTTAAATAAAATATAATACAACAAAAAACAAAAAATAAATGAATCAAGGAATTAAAAAAAAAAAAAAAACAAAAAACCACCACAACTCTTCTCAAACCCCCGTACTTCGTGCAATTCAAACCACCCAAAACACATTAATCTCTGATTATAATCCGACATAATAAAAATCTCTGACTAGGATATGTTTCAATTTCAATTATGCTTATAAAAATTAATTCGTAGCAAAAAAATGACAAATTTTATTGGACACTCATGCCGTGTGGGCATGCTACTAGTATTGATTAACACAACTGAACTGGTGAACTCTCTTATCCAGAAAGGTTAAAGGTAACCACCGAAAGATCAAAACGATTTGCCACTACAATTCGACTAATTAGTCTTTCCGGCAGTTCCCGTGCAAATGAGATCTCTTGGAAGCCATTTGTGCCAGTGACAAAGATTGTTATTGTTTAAACATAAACACAATGCCGTACCAGCTAGACCCTAACCCAACGCAACCGGACAGCTTCCACATCTTTCTATTAACTACATTGAGAAAGAATGAGATAAGGAATGGAGGAAACTGAAGAATTAGAGAGAGAAACAATTGAAAGAGAACAAGTAGCTCAAAATGCTTTTGATTATTTAATCTGTGTTTACAAATGAGATACAACTAGAGTTATATAGCTGGGAGAAGGCAGGTATGCCTTAAGCTAACTGTTAACAAACTCAACTAACATTTTAACAAACTCTAACAGCTTTAACAATCATTTGACAAACTCTTCTGAGGTGGCCTTCACTACTGATGTTGATGTGGTATTGATATTCAACATCTCCTATCAATCTCAACTGGGTTTCCCAGTTTGAGGTTGTATGACTCGTTCATATTCTATTTTGAGTCATCTGCTTGAAGAAACACAGCTGCAAACCATATGGAAAGGCTGGAACAGCTCCTTCCACAACTTGCCAAAAATGAAAGGAAAAGCTGAAAGCAGTTCTCAAAGTACTTCAATAAGATATCAGCTTTTAAAGATTGAAAGTCAAAAGCAAACAACTTTTCCATCATTCTCATGGGTGTGTAAAATGGCAAAATGAGTATCTTCTCTACTCAATTGCTATCAACCCATCTCCAATTTTGTTAACTCATTCAACTTGATCAGGGCAAATAATTCTTCATTACTCTGTCACTTGCAGTTTGGAGTAGTGTGTAATAATGGAGTTGTTCATCTTTCTATTTCCAGCTTCTAACTCCAACTAGTGGACCGAAATCATGACACCCTTCCTCTGCCACTAACAGTAACCTCACAAAGGACAACCTTCTACAAAGGAGTCGTAGCACACCCTCATGCCAGTTATAACAATTTCTTGTGAGATTATCCTTTATGAGATTTACCGTCAACAATCTCATTCAACATTGGCTTCGGCCTTTAATATTTACAAAAACAGAAAATTAATGAACTATAGTGTGGCATCGGCCTTAACTATGGTACCGTTTGGTACGTGGGACGGGACGGGATGGGACGGAACACAATGGGATGAGGCGTTTCGTCCCACGTTTGATGCACCAAAAACAGTGGAACACGTTGTCCCGCGAAACGAAATTTGTTACTTTTTCGTTCCACCTTCCCCTCCTGGAATGACTCGTTCCACTGTGGAACACAAAATTATAATTTTTTTGGACAATAATACCCCTCATTTTTTCATTAATTCCACTATCTACCCTCCCTCTCTTCTACCCTCTTCCTTCTCTCCTATAGCATCCTCCTCCACCACAAACCCAGCTACATCTTCCTCGACCTCAACACTCCCTCCAGCACAGACCCACGCTCTAGGGAGTTAGCGACGGTTCCTCTTCATTGATTTTTTTTTTCCTGCAAAAATCGGAATTAAAAACATTAATTAGGAAAAAAAAAAAAATAATTAGTTGGAAGGGATCGATGCAGGAGGAGTTGTGGTTGTGATTGCCTTGGCAGCGCCACCAGCTCCGGCCCACCACCAGCTCATGATCTTGGATTTGGAATTCTCTGAGAAATTGTAAATTACTTTCACAAATTTTTTGATCAGATTTCTAACTTGGAGTCTTCAATTTACAACATTTCTGCACCATATACCCAGAAAACAATATCTTAATCTCCAGGACAAAAAAGATCTTTGCTTATTTGTTGTTGGGTTTGAAAACCTTAATGAGATAGAGATTTTGGGAAACTTTTGTTTTGATGGGGGTTTGCTAGAGCAACAAAATCAAGATTGAAAGTCTTTTCAAAACAGGTAATGGGAAGAAGACGGGGTAAGGAAGAAGAAGATGAACAGTTCATCTTCTTCTTTTTCTTCTTTATTTTTTAAGTTGTAATTATATAAAAATAAAAATTATTTTTTATTATTAAATATTTTAAATCTAAACGGAAATATTTAATTAGATGTATGGAACCTACTTAGATTTTGGATTGGTTCTTTTGACGTAGTTTTGAATCGATGAATATTTATTCAAAAAACTGATGCTTCACTTTGTTTTACCATTTAATCATACCTTTAAATTGAATATGAACAAGTTTAAAAAAAAAAAACCGTTTTGTTCTATTCCATGCATAAACATTGTACCGAACAACAGGCGGAACAAGGATAAGTTAGTCAATTAATCTTTTGGTTCCATGTCGTCTTGCGCTTACCAAACGTAGAACGGAACAATCGTCCCGTTCCATTCTGAGCATACCAAACATAAGGTTCCGTTCCGTCCCATTCCGTTTGCATACCAAACAATACCTATAGTAACACGGGATCCCCCTCTGTGGATTTTACTAGAAATAACTTTTCTTAACAATGGCATCGGCCTTCACAATTTCAACAACATAAAATCAACATCTATGTAGGATTACCCTCTGTGGGATTACCTACTCATAACATGGGATTACCCTTCGTATGATTTACTGTCAACAACTTCTTCAAACTTCATCTTTTTTCTAAGACACGTATAACCGGACTTATAGTAGATACATGCTAACAACTAAGCTAGTTAGACTCAACATTATAGGCTGCGATAAGGGAAAATATTGAACAATCTTCATGGACATCACACTTCTCATACCCAAGAATCCATATCCATTTCTCCAAACATATCAAGAGACATAGCAGAATTTTAGTAGCAATCCAGCGCAACAATCTTGAACCCAAGTATCAGACAAAACTTGAAGAAGCTAGAAAAACTCACAAGAAAGATGACTTCGTGCGACAAACTAATTGAGTTACACAGACACGTTTAGTCATCAAATCTTTCAAGAATTTAAGAGACATCAAGTTTGAGAGAGAAAACCAGAAGTCTATTGATCTGGAAGTTGCCCGTGGGGAGAAGCTTGCTTCACTAAGCAAGGAAAGATTGATGCACTCTTCCCCAAGATTATCCACCAAAAGGTAGATTACCCAAGATACTACCGCCTTCTGCCTAACAAGCAACTCGTGTGCATACCATAAACTAGTAAAATATATCACTTTGTTGAAATTTCATCGACGCATAAGGTCGAACACGTGATAGGAAAGAACCCATTAGGAAGAAAGAAGACACAAATTCTAGATTTGAGCAAACAAGAATCGCAAGGTTCTGGCGAAGCAGCTCAAGATTTTGAGGAAAACCCCTGATTGCGATGAAGACTGAATGTCAGTGATCGATTCCAATGAAGGTGAAGGACTTATTTTTGGAAATATCTTTGACTCCGGATGTGACCAACGCTCTCTGTAAACCTTCATATGAAGATTTCATAGTAACTTTTGAGCTGGGAATTTCGTCAAACACCTGGAGTGCATAAGTGACATATTTCGTTGGTGATGGTCTGCAAACACCAAAAGCCAATGGTGGTCTGCGAATGGCCTCACTGTCTACGAATGACAATCTGGCGTCAGAAAAAAATCAACCTAGAAGCAATAGTACAATCACAGAAGCACCAAGAAACTTATCGAAATATCCAATGAAAATGTGAAGAGAAACTAAACTAGAGAAAAAAAAATGAAAACGACTAAAAAGTTGAACCACCAGAATCCATGGCGTGAGATTGGTGGCTCTGATACCATATTAACTACATTTAGAAAGAATCAGAGGGCAATAAGGAATGGAGAAAACTGAAGAATTAGAGAGAGAAACAATTGAAAGAGAACAAGTAGCTCAAAATGCTTTTGATTATTTAATCTGTGTTTACAAATGAGATACAACCAGAGTTATATAGCTAGGAGAAGGCACACGTGCCTTAAGCTAAATGTTAACAAACTCAACCAACATTTTAACAAACTCCAACAGCTTTAACCATCATTTAACAAACTCTGCTGAAGTGGCCTTCACTACTGATGCTGATGTGGATGCTGATGTGGTATTGATACTCAACACTTTCAACCCCAAATGTGTCGAAATTGGCAACTGGATCTAAAACACACAAACTATCCTGACGACTACAACATTCCTCGGCAACAATTCGATACGAAAAAAAATCAAGAGGCAGGAGAGCGAGGGATGAGTAAACAGAAGGATTTTGTAACAAGGGTTGCTTCCTACCCCAAGGCCAAAAGGTAAGGGCCAGTTGCAAAGGAAGGTTTTCTGTAGTTTTCTCTCTAGATGGGGTTGTTCCGAAATAAATTATCAATTTTGATCTTATATTTCTTAGCTACTTTCTCAACTTTCTCAAATTTACAAAGTTAATTACATTGACTTTGGAGCTAAACAGAAGAACATGTGTCAAAAAATTAATATTAAGAACACGTGTCATTAATTTAACATACAAACGACCAATTGACAATAGGCTAGTTTGTTACGAAAGCGTCAAAGAAACCACCTAAAGCGTTGCCCTCTCTACCGGCATTGAGTACACACCATGTGTGGTGACAACATCCACCACTGCATGTGGCACTAACACTTGCACTCACAAATAAATCTTCAAATAAAACCAACCTTAAAACTGCTCTCTTCCCGTTCTTCGGTTTCTGATTCTCCTTCGTCTCTCTCACTAGTAAACTAATTATGTCTTGCTTTAAGGGAAAGTATCATGGTAATTGCATTGCATCTCCTTTCTTTTACCTCATATTTTAATTTGTACGTGGGTTTTCTTATATTATTTGTTTCCCTACTCTAATCTTTAATCTCTAATCTCTAATCTCTAATCTGATGAGTTCTTGATTTTATTATGTTTCTGCTACCTCCTATCAGGCTTTTCTTTTGCAATGAATTATCATTAGGGTTTTTTCTTTTTCGATTTTCTTATTTGAATCGTTTGTGTGCTGTTGAATTTAAATAGGGTATTGTTTATGTACATAGGCTTAAGCAGTTATTTGGTTTACGGTTTGCTTTGATCGGCTTGGGGACATTTTGGATCTAAATTGATAAGATATTTGTAGAAGTAAATTGTACATAAAGGATAACAAACAAAGAACAATCATGTAGTCATATTATGACTTTTCTTCTGCTACTTCATAAAAAATAGGAGAATTGTGAGTAAGAGAGAATTTTAAGGCTTCAACGGAATAGAGAGAACTGCTGAAAGAGCTGGATCATAAGGGCAATGCCTATATCTTGTTTTTTTGTTTCAAAAGATTCTAGTTGCGCTCCAAATATTCATTCATTGGAATTTGGAGCCGTGTTTTTGTGGACATTTTGGTTATGATCAATCGTTTGATCACATTATGCAGTCTTCTTGATGATCTTGATATTGATGAATGATACATTTCTTGGCGTAATCGACATTTCTTGGCACTATCCCAGGTTTGGACCTTTTATAGACTCACTAGTACTCCTGCCCTGCCTATCTTAGGCTCATGCCACTTTGGTACGGGTCCATATGATCTGGCCCGTTTCACAATTTTTCGAGATATTTTTGGGATTTATGTAACTCTATTTGTTTTTACTTCTATCTAATAGTTTATGTTGTTGCAATTTCCATCCCCCCAATCCCCCAAATAATTCATTTAGGAAGACCAAAAATGACATCTACTATCATGTATTACAGATGAACTTGTAGCCAATGCTACCTACATTGGTACCCCTGGGAAGGGAATCCTTGCTGCAGATGAGTCAACAGGCACGATTGGCAAGCGTTTGTCAAGCATAAATGTCGAGAATACTGAAAATAACAGGCGAGCTCTCCGTGAGCTCCTCTTCTGTGCCCCGGGTGCACTCCAGTATCTCAGCGGTGTGATCCTTTTTGAGGAAACCCTTTACCAGAAAACAGCCGGCGGGAAACCTTTTGTTGATATCCTCAAAGACGGTGGCGTCCTTCCTGGAATTAAAGTTGACAAGGGCACTGTTGAGCTTGTTGGAACTAATGGTGAGACCACAACTCAGGGTCTTGACGGTCTTGCCCAGCGCTGCCAGCAATACTATGAAGCTGGTGCCCGGTTTGCAAAGTGGCGTGCTGTACTCAAGATTGGCCCGAACGAGCCAACTCAGCTTGCTATAAACGAGAATGCCAATGGCTTAGCGCGCTACGCTGTCATTTGCCAGGAGAATGGCTTGGTACCAATTGTTGAGCCAGAGATACTGGTTGATGGATCTCATGACATTGAGCGATGCGCAGATGTGACTGAGCGTGTCCTTGCAGCGTGCTATAAAGCACTGAACGATCACCATGTCCTTCTCGAGGGGACTCTTTTGAAGCCAAACATGGTTACCCCTGGTTCAGATGCCAAAAAGGTTTCACCTGAGGTGGTGGCTTATCATACATTAAGGGCGTTGCAGCGAACAATGCCTCCAGCTGTTCCTGCTGTAGTATTTCTTTCTGGTGGGCAGAGTGAGGAGGAAGCTACCCTCAATTTGAATGCTATGAACAAGCTCAATACCAAGAAACCCTGGTCACTTTCATTCTCTTTCGGGCGGGCTCTGCAGCAGAGTACCCTAAAGGCGTGGGCTGGAAAGGATGAAAATGTGGAGAAGGCACGGGCTGCCTTTCTTGCTAGGTGCAAAGCTAATTCAGAAGCAACTTTGGGTACCTACAAAGGGGATGCTGCATTGGGAGATGGTGCTTCGGAGAGTCTTCACGTGAAGGATTACAAATATTGAAGATTTTGCAGGTCAATTCATATTTCCTTATATATTGCTGTTAGTTAGGAAATTAATCGAGAAATGAAAGTTTCTTTTTTGTTCTTTGGAATGCAACTGATTAAAATTCGGTGGCATGTATCGTCACGGCTTGATTATTGCCCTTTAAGTTTTTTTTTTTTTTTTTTTGTTTTTTTTTGTTTTTTACTACGGGCATATTTTTCACTTTCTGGATTTTGAGTATAATTCTTTTTTTTCTGTCATTGCCTGTCATTTTCCTATTAACAACAAAGCGTTGGCCAGAAAACATATTCAAGTATTAGGTTTATGCTGGTTAGAGTACTGCTGCAATAATTGTGGGTTGATTAGGTTCATGTAACGTTAAAGCAGATTGTACCTTACAGTAAATCATGAAGAATGTAGTTGTACCTCAACTTATAGTTATAGTTCCTTTACAAAAGCAGTAGCTAGTGGAAGTGGGAATTGAAAAGCCCCCTCTAAGTGTACAAATATATCATGTATTTCCTTAACAACTTGGTGCTTGTCAATGCGGTCACAAGAAAAAAAAAATAACAAGGGCTCATTTGGATTGAGGGATTTCAAATTTAGAAACTTAGAAGAGATTATAAGGTTAAATTGTTCGTTTGAAATATAGCAATCCATGTATCCCAAGATTTGAATAAGAAAGACACGAAAAAAGTAAATGGATTCCAAATGACTCATTACAAGCACACAAATCCCTTCTGACTTTTTGTTAATCCAGTCCCACTAGAGATAACGTGACAATTTCTTACTGGACATCCCTACAAATATCCGACCAGGTGGTTTGCCTAGTGAAGATTCCCTCTTACATCTAGTTGTTTCAAGTACAATCTATTTAATGATTTCTTGTTTATGTGGCAAAAGTTTCACATCCAAATCCTTTAATTCAAATTTCTCCATCCGAATGGAGCCTACAAATCTTTACGGGACAGACAGATGAAATAGAAATGGGAACAACTATCAAAATGTTGAAAAATTGTGAGAATGAATGCCCATAGTGAGGAAGACTTGAAAATAGTGATGTATTTGTTGTTGTGTAATGTTTTCAAAAGTGGCAATCATTTCATTTGTTTGGTTTGTCACGGGTGTTGCTCTATATAAAGCGCACTCCGTGTGTGATCACAATACACACTGCAAAAGAAAAGAACTGAAAGCAATAATATCAGTATCCTTCATTTCCTCTTTTTACCTCCAATCCTTTTGTGTTAAACTTACGAAACTAAACAGTGTGATATTTTTCACCTGCTTCACTCTTGTCCTTAGTAAAGATTATCTCTCTAACTTTTGCCTATTTATAACATGTTATTAGCACGATTCTCTAACCTTAACCAGTTCTCATCTCCCTTCCTAAAAAATGCTTCCTCTAAGGATTTTCTTGTTCTTTTTCCTCCTCTGCCTCACCTGCTTGATGTACCCTCGCGAAGAATGGCTAGCACCATGCCTACTTCTAGTTCTCAAATGATTTCTTGTTTGATGTAGCTCCTGATTACTAACTCAGTGTTTATTTATGTTAATTTTACTGTGACCAAAGATGGTGTGGTATCATCGCCCATCTTAAATTGTAGATTTAATTTTACTGCAATTTTAGGTGGTGCGGTACAATCATCCACCCTACTCTGCATATTTAAATTTTCCTGCTGCTTAAGTGGTGCGGTATAATCGACTATACTATGCTATATTGTTTGAATGAGAGTGGTGCGGTACAATCGCTCTCCTCCATTAATCATGTAAATCTTGAGCCTGAAGTTTTGAGTGCTTATTATTTTGGCCTGAGATCAAAATGAAAAATTTGTAAGAACCAGAAGTTCTAACACTACATTCCTCCAGAATACATATTATTGCAAGTTCTTACACATCTCATTTTTCTATCAGAAAAGAAAATGGCGAACTTAGCAAAGCTTGATTTTGTTGCCCTGAATATTACTGGGAAGAACTACCTTACCTGGGTAATGGATACCAAGATCTATCTGGAGGTAGGGAATCTTGGAGAAACCATCAAGGAGGAAAACAGTGCATCCTCTCAAGATCTGGTGACAACCATCTTTATCTGTCGCCACTTTGATGAAGGACTGAAAAACGAGTATCTAACGGTTGAAGATCCATTAGCCCTCTGAAAGGCATTGAGAAATAGATACAATCACCAGAAAACAATAATTCTTCCGAGGGCTCGCTATGAGTGGACACACCTAAGGATCCAGGATTTCAAGTTGGTTGCAAAGTACAACTTTGCAATGTTCAGAATTAGTTCCCAGATGAAGCTTTGTGGGGAGACCATCACTGAGGAAGATATGCTGGAAAAGACTTTCAACACCTTTCATGCCTCCAACGTGCTCCTGCAGCATCATTATAGAAAGCGGGGCTTTATTGAGTACAACCAGCTGATATCGGTGCTCTTTGTGGCTGAACAAAACAATGAGCTTCTGATGAAAAATCATCAGTCCCAATTTATTGGATCGGCACCATTCCCAAAAGTGAATGTTGCTTCCCTCGAAGTGAACACCACATCCTCTCGTGGTAATAATTACAAACGAGGATGTAGCGACAAGCGAGGCCGGTGGAACAGGAAAGGCAAGAATTATGGTGTCCAGTTTTACAACTAGGTTCCAAGGCATAATTTAAGCCCGAGCTTCAGAAATGTAAATCGCCACAAAGGTAAAGCCCATATAAACAACACTCCTAGAAACCCTGAAGGAGTCTACCATAGGTGTGGTGGCAATGGGCACTGGGCGCGTACCTGTCGTACCCCAAAACATCTGGTGGACCTATACCAAGCCTCATTCAAGGAAAAGGGTGACGAAACCAATCTCCTCAACCAGGCTAAACCGATGGATATACCTGATCTAGATGTCTCAGACTTGATTGTGGAAAGAGGGAATGAAGTGTATCGATCCGACTTAATCATTTCTGTTTGATGTACTCTTATTATTTGCGAAGCGTTTTTGGATCGGTAGTTTAAACCCCGCTGATGTAAACCCTGTGGTTTACAAATGGGTATTCATAAATAATAAGAGTACATCAAACATAAATGATTCAATAGGATCGATACACTTCAATCCCTTTTTCCACAATGAAGTCTGAGACATCTAGGTGGGTTGTGTTCAATTGCCTTCATAAATCAAACACTGGATTAGGTATATCCATCGATTTAGCCTGGTCGAGGAATTTAGTTTCGACACCTTTCTCCTTGAAGGAAGCTTGATACAGGTCCACTAGATGTTTTGGGGTACGACATGTACGCGCCCAATGCCCGTTGCCACCATACCTATGGCAGGCTCCTTTAGGGTTTCTAGGAATGTTGTTCATATGGGCTTTACCTTTGTGGTGATTTACATTTTTGAAGCTCGGGCTTGCATTATGCCTTGGAACCTAGTTGTAAAACTGGACACCATGATTCTTGCCTTTCCCGTTCCACCGGCCTCATTTGTGGTCACATCCTCGTTTGTAACTATTACCATGAGAGGATGTGGTGCTCACTTCAAGGGAAGCAACATTCACTTCTTGGAATGGTGTTAATCCAATAGGTAGGGATTGATGATTTTTCATTAGAAGCTCATTGTTTTGTTCAGCCACAAGGAGCACCGATATAAGCTGGTTGTACTTAATAAAGCTTCGCTATCTATACTACTGCTGCAAGAGCACATTAGAGACATGAAATGTGCTGAAAGTCTTTTCTAGCATATCTTCCTCAGTGATGGTTTCCTCACAAAAAGTCATCTAGGAACTAATTCTGAACATTGCAGAGTTGTACTCTGCAACTGACTTGAAATCTGGATCCTTAGGTGTGTCTACTCATAATGAGCCCTTGGAAGAATCACCATTTTCTAGTGATTGTATTTATTTCTCAATGCCTTCCAAAGGGCTAATAGATCTTCAACCGTTAGGTACTTGCTTTTTAGTCCTTCATTAAGGTGGCGACGGATAAAGATCATGGCCTTTGCCTGAACTTGAAAGGATGCACTGTTTTCTTGCTTGATGGTTTCTCCAAGATTCCCTGCCTCTAGATGGATCTTGGTATCCACTATCCAGGTAAGGTAGGTATTCCAAGTAATATCCAGGGGCAACAAAATCAAGTTTTGCCAAGTTCGCTATTTTCTTTTCTGAAAGAAAATTTTGATGTGTAAGAACTTGCAATAATATGTATTCTGGAGGAATGTAGTGTTAGAATTTCTGGTGCTTACAAATTTTTCATTTTGATCTTCAAGCCAAAATGATAAACACTCGAAACTTCAGGCTCGAGATTTACATGATTAATGAGGAGGGCGATTGTATTGCATCACTCTCATTCAAACAATATAGCATAGTATGAGCGATTACACCGTACCACTCAAGCAGCAGGAAAATTTAAGTATGCAGAGCAATGTGGGTGATTATACCACACCACCTAAAATTGCAGTAAAATTAAATATGCAATTCAAGATGGGGCAATGGTACCATACCATCTTCGATCACAATAAAATTAACATAATAAACACTGGGTTAGTAATTCGGAGCTACACCAAACAAGAAATCAAGGATATAAGTAATTGTTATATTGAGAACTAGAAGCAGGCATGGTGCTAGCAGTTCTTCGTGAGGTTACATCAAGCAGGTGAAGTAGAGGAGGAAGAAGAATAGGAAAATTCTTGGGAGGAAACATTTTTCGGTGAAGGGAGATGAGAACTGGTTAAGGTTAGAGAGTCATGCTGATAACCTGTTATAAATAGGCAAAAGTTAGAGAGATAACCTTTGCTAGGGACAAGAGTGAAGCGGGTGCAAAATATCACACTGTTTAGTTTCGAAACTATAACACAAAAAGGATTGTAGGTAAAAATAGGAAGTGGGGGATACTGATATTGTTGCTTTTAGTTCTTTTCTTTTGCAGTGTGTATTGTGATCACACACGAAGTGCTCATTATATAGAGCAACATTCGTGACAAATCAAACAAATGAAATGATTGCCACTTTTGAAAACATTACACAACAACAAATACATCACTATTTTCAAGTCTTCCTCACTATGGGCATTCATTCTCACAATTTTATAACACGTTATGATTTTTTTTCCACTGGGTTTTTCTGAGTAAGGTTTTAACGAGGCAACTGATGTTGATATGTGGGCATCCAATGGGAAGTGTTGTAAAATTGTGCGAATGAATGACCACAGTGAGGAAGACTTGAAAATAGTGATGTATTTGTTGTTGGGTAATGTTTTCAAAAGTGGCAATCATTTCATTTGTTTGGTTTGTCATGGATGTTGCTCTATATAAAGAGCACTCCGTATGTGATCATAATACACATTGCAAAAGAAAAGAACTGAAAGCATTAATATCAATATCTCTCACTTCCTCTTTTTACCTTCAATCCTTTTGTTATAGTTACGAAATTAAACTGTGATATTTTGCACCCGCCTCGGTCATGTCCCTAGCAAAGGTTACCTCTCTAACTTTTGCATATTTATAACCCAAAATTTGCTTTTGATTTATTTTTTACAGCTATGAAGTAAATGACAAAAAAACCAATACATTAGGGACTTAACTTTCTTGCTTCAGTGATCCAAAACTATCTGTACTACAAGAGTAAGCAAAAAGAAGAGGATATTACTAGAACTAGTGAAAGATTCACCTTTTGAAATGACTTTGTTTTCTGCAAATTAAATCATTAGAAACACCACATTAATTATACTAGTTTTTAAATAGTTGATAAATCTATTTAGTATATGTCTCACTTCACACTTTATGAAACTAGGCACTTACTGAACTTTTTTGGGTGGCATATGCACCTCAACCCAGCACCACAATTTCCATTAGGCTTGTCACGATCGTCGCAAATATTGGGTACCTGGTCAGGGATGTTGAAAGACATCCTCGTCTTCAACCCATATCTTTCATTGTTTCCATGTGAAGGTTTTTCATACACCATGTTGTAACCAATGTTATAAAAATTGGCCTAGACGGTCACTTAGGCGCTGGGCGGAGGTGTGCCGATGCGATTATGTTCGAATCGTTAAGAAAAATCAGGGAGCTGTTAGGCGCCCGCCTAGGCACTCTTAGGCAGCCTGGGTGGTCTAGGCGGTTGTCTAGGTGGAGTGAAATGGTTTCTTGAGAAGAAATTCAAAACAAAAACCCAAAATCGCAAACTCGAATTTAAACTTGAAATTAACATGTAGAGCATGGATTAACCTACCTGAGTTTCGAACGGGACTAATTCGAGCTCATGGGACCCCAAGTTCGACGGGTCCCTCGCTGGAGCTCCACGCCAGAAGCTCAATTTTCAAAAGTTGTAGCTCGATTCCATTAGAGCAACTCTCACCGAGAACCCTTGCTTAGATTCTCCTACTTTCCATCATAGAATTTAACATGCAAATGTACCATAGGGATCCCCGGTTGCGCAGGTCTTGCATTTGGTGGTTTGGGGTCTCGATTTAATTGGAATTTATGGTGATGGTGCCTGGAGCTCTCTTTGGCTATAGTGGTTTAGAAAGAAGGCAGAGAGTTCGAAAGGAGGGAGGGAGAGGGGGAGAGAGAGAGAGAGAGAGAGAGAGCTGTAATCTTAAAAGGAAAGATGGTTTCGAGAGAAGGTAGAGAGAGAGAGAAAGAAGAGAGAACCGGTTTTCAAAAACAAAAATGATGGTGATGTGTGAGTGATGATAAAAATTGGTGGTTAAGTGTGTAGGTTTAGAGAGAGAGAGAGGGAGATAGTGACGTGAGGGAGTGGAAAGTGCACAGGAACGTGGGGTGTGTGTGTGTGTCAGAGAGAGAGAGAGAAAAGATGTGAGAGAAAGATAGGACCGGTTGATATGAAATGGGAAAGGATGCATGCTCTGACTGGTTTTGGTGCTCCAAAGTTGAAAGTGTCACCAACCCAAATAAAATCATAAATAAAAGACCCATGCTCTGACCATTTTTGGCTCCAAAGTTCAAAGTAGGACACCAATAAAATCATAAATAAAAGAGAGATGATTTCGGGGATGATACCAATGGGCGTGGTTTCATTAAGGGATGACTAGCATGGCTTCCTAGTAGTTTTATTATTAACCACCCAACCCATTACTTCAAATTTTTACTTTTATTTTAAAAATTAGATATAATCATTCAAAATGTCTTAAGTTATATGGCATATATGCTTAATGTATTTTTAAATTTTAGACTTGTTGGATACTCTTTTTGTATTTTATCATTCTTTTATTATCTTATTAATGGATTTCATATAAGTATAATTTTTTATGTGTCAATATGCATTTATTAACAAGATATACAAGAAATTAACCTAAATCCTCCTAGACCGCCTAGGCGCCCACCTAGATCCCGCCTAGGCGCCCGCCTAGATCCCCCCTAGGCGCCTAGGCGCTAGACGCTAGCTCACCGCCCGACTAGCGTCTAGCGTTTTTTAGAACCTTGGCTGTAACATGAGCAAGTGCGACCTCTTGGATGAAAACCCAAGTCTGGCTTTGTGAGATCATAAACTAGTAAGCAAGAGGACGATGTATGCCCGTAAAGTTTGGGTTCTTGAATCTTTGAAGAAGCTCCACATGCATGCAGGCAGGTGACATTTTGAAAATGTGGTGAAGGATCAAGGTTTTTGTTTGAGCAATCGGAGTAAATGTGAGTTGGACTGTCGGGAACGAAAACTGGGCGATGGAAGTTTAGAAGGGACATAGTGGAGTGAAGATGAACAAGAAGGGTTGGAGATACTCAAACTTTTACATCGGTAGTTAGTATAGGAAATTGGGAACAGATTAATAGAGGCTCTATTTATAGAGAATAACTCTTGATTATTTACATAAAACAATATGGAGAGAATGGTGGGACCATGTTTTGACAGCAGATGTGGTGGAGAGATTTGTGGTGGATTCAATACTCGTCACTATTACTATGGTATAGGTTTCGAGATTTGCACAAGGAAAATGTGGTTTAGCGGAGAAAACGCGGTTGAATTTGGTTTCGAAAATGGCGTTTGAGTTTTCAGTTTGTGACAAATGATTGTTGAAGCATTTTGAGGAATTGAAGTTGTTAAACAAAAATTGAGTAATAGAAGGAAAGGATGCAGGAGGCAGATTTTCTTGAATTTCTTGAATGTTTGCATTTTCAAATAAACTGGATTATTAGGTTATTTTGTTTTTCCACACAACTATAAGGAAGTACAGAAGATCAAGATAACAAAGAATCTACTTTTTAATCCGTTGAATAATATTACTTTGTGATTTCAAAAGTCCTTTTGGACTTTTGGCATCTTAACAGGGACATGTATTACTTCTGCAATTTCAATCCCACTTTTTCGGTGGCCCAATGGAATGTGACTTTTCTCCACCCTTTAGATTCTGCTGCCTGATTTCCTCCTTTTTCACCCACTACTGTTGGCGATGGTAAGTTTTTTGATGAATCATCAGAGCTGTATGTTTCGTCGCTGTTTTGTGTAATGTTAAATCATGGTTTTTTACTAAAATGGATCACACATTCGTTTGAGGGAAATTAAACACATTTGGTTAAGGTTATCACACCCAAAACATGGCTTTTTGTGTAACGTTGAATCTGAAGACCGCAAAATTTTACTACCATAGTAGCCAAATCCCACAAGCTAAGCTACATGTCCAATCATGAATCCTCAAGAAAGGCAAAATGTGCATAATATATTTTCACACAAGTTGAAATTACACTAAAAATCATTGATTTATCGCCACAATTAAACAGTACCCATAGATTTTGAGGAAAATACTAAAAACTCCACACTCAAGCAGAAGCAGCGTACTTCATCATAATCCATTTTCTTGGGTACATAGTTTTGCAATTTTAAGCTACTTCTGATCATTCTGGGCAGCTGATGGTTCCTCTGCTGGTGCCTTGGGTGGTGGCTTGACAAGGTTAGCCGGGAAATCAAGCAGCACAATCTTTTCTATAACTGTTGAAAATGTAGCCGAAAATTCTTGATGTTTAGGGTGGCCGAGAAACACACTGTAATCTTCTTTATTTTTGAATGTCATCAAGAAGGCATGGGTAAACCCTTGCCTAAGCATCTCTAGGCTTTCCAAGTCCTGTCCCCTGAAAATTAAAGAGTAAGCACGCAGGCTATGATCAAATATATATGTTCGTGATAAGTAATTAACATTGTATAATTTTCTAGTGACTTCTAATGATCTCATACTACAGTATGAAGAATCACATAATTATTGTTTTAATTTCAAATGGGGTGCCTGCGAAGGTAAAAACCGTTTTCTAATTAACTGTATTACGTGTAGAAATGTTCACTCTAGTGATAGTCTGACAATATAACGTATCAAATCTCAAATAATTGACAAGTAAAAGTTAGAACATTGCTCTAGCTCATTTTACATATTTATCATATGAACATTTGAAGCTAGCTATTATGCTTTAATTATAAGAGCTTACCATTCAAAGGACTTAATAGCATCAATCTCAGCAACCATTTTCTCCATATCTTTCAGAATCTCCTCCATCAACACATTTTCCTTGAACTTAACAATCACCAAGTGCTTGAACTCCCCCATAATATTATTCTCCAGTTCTACTGTACTACCCATGAAGCTAAAAAAAAGAGCCCAAATCCCCCAATTTATAATACCCTACATAACCATTGCTTGTGTATCAACTTCCACAGTCCTACTCCTACCTGTCCCCTGTCACACCCAATGACCCTGTTTGGAGGCAATCAGTCAGTCCTCTCCTTTCTTAGGACAACAATATCTCTTGCTCAATATTTTCATGGGACTGTTGTCCCACTAGTCAGCAATCCAGTAGCTCCACCGCACGGTATAATTTTGTCCAGTTCCGTTGTCATAACTTTGCTTTTGCCCATGAATATGACGATTGTGGTCCTTATGCCCATTTTATTGAAGTTAGAGTGCGTTTGTTGTATCAGACTATTTCGGACTGAACTAGTTTCAGGAACTAAGCTGGACTGGCTTAGAATAGACTAAGCTGGACTGATTTAGTGAAACGTTTGGTAAAGTGTCGGACTAAAAAAAATAAGACTCTAATATTATATTATTTAATCTATATCTATAATATTTTATTATTAATTTAATCTATACTACTAATATTTATTATTAGTTTATCATTTTTCGTTTTCTAGAATCATCTTCTAGACTTCCTCTGTCCAAACCTATCATCTTTTAATCCGCCCACTTCCTCTATCTAAACCTCCCAACTACCCCACATAACTATATTTGAAATTTCTAATAAATCAGACCCTTGAATCAGAACCCAAAATCCTTAAATCATAACCCAAAATCCCGCAAAAAAAAAATCAAATCCTTCACTCTAGAAAACTTTATTCACCATGGCCGTCGCCTGTCAAGCTCTCGACCATTGTCTTCCGGTGAGGGCCTAGGCGGATTAGAGGTGAATCAGATGACGGTGAGACAGTGGTGATGATTCTAGGGTCTTGTTCGAATGAGATGACGACAAGAGATTGGGTTTTCCAGTTGAGGTTCGGGGCGATGAGAGTGTGGTGGTGGTCTGGTGGCGATCTCGCCAAAGTTGGTGAGTATAACCGGTGGTAACTCTCGGTGTTTGTGAGAACAGATGGCAGATAAAGGACGCGAAGCGAAGGAGAGGAAGGGAAGGTCTTAGCAATCCCATGGGTATTAGGGGGTCTCGCTAAGAACTCCTAGCGAAGGAGTTTGTCCGTGCGAGTCCCCTTTAGTCCCATTAAACATAATCCCAGTATTGAACAAACAGAGGACTAGACTAATAGTTAGTCCAGTCTAGTCTTGTGATGCTTAGTGAGGGCAAACAAACGCCCCCTTACAGTACTCTTATGGGACTAGATATTTTGAGGGGCTATTATCACTCTGCAAAACTACTAGGACTGATTTTAAAATATATATTCAATTGCAATTTTTTCCTCTTTGTAATGATTAATATATATATACACACACACACATGTATATATGTTGAGGGGCTATTATCACTGGATCAGGATCCTCTCCTAATTTAAGGATGAGAATCCTCCTGATCAAGGAGTGTGGGCCGTTGGATGAAAATCCAACGACTACAAACAGGGAGGTCCCTTTAAAATTATAATAATTATAACCGTTGGATGAAATCCAACGACCCATATTTCTTGATCAGGAGGATCCTCATCCTTAGATCAAAAGAGGATCTTGGTCCATTATCACTCTGCAGAACTACTAGGACTGATTTTAAAATATATATTCAATTGTAATTTTTTCCTCTTTGTAATGATTAATATATATATATATATATATATATATATATTATAATTCAATTGTTCTTATTGCTGGACTTTTCTCCATGTCCTAGCCATGTGCTGCGGGGTATATTATTGTATATTATGGGACCCTAAGGCATAAATGATATCACACACTCTTTAGAGCAGTTCCACCTGTCAACACTTTACATCAGCATCCAGCGTATTTATCCACTCAAGTAAACAGTAATAGACCCCAACGGTAATAAGCCAAAGCATCTCCATCCCTAAAAAAATGCGCTGGCACCCAGTTTAAAAATGCGATGGGACAAACAATCTTCACCCTTACAAAATGCGCTGGCATCCAGCCCATTTAAATATTTTATATTTTTTTAAAAGAATAAATAAAAAAAATAGTTTTATTTTCGAATAAGATTTTTAACCAATTTCGGATAAAATTTCAAATAAACTTAAAAAAAAAAAACACACTAAAATAAAATTACATACTCATCAAATAACTTAAAAAAAATACACTAAAATAAAATTACATAAACTCATCAAATACACTTTATTCTTCAACCATAAGCTTATTTTAATTATCTTCACCTTCTTGCAATCCCCACTGCTGCTCAATCAAGTCATTTTGGCGGATTACTTGCCAATATGGCTCTTGCACATCAGTGTACTGCTGAATGATCAATTCATTGGTAGAAAGTGTGGAAAATATTGAAATGTGGTGTAAGGTGAAAGATGAGAGTTAGGTATTTATAGGGAAAAAAAATAACTTTTTTAAAAATTTTATGTATTTTTTAATAATTTTTATGTATTTTTTCATAATTTTTAATAAATTTTAATATAGTTAATTAATTTGGACCGTTGGATTTGAAAAATATTCAAATCCAAGAGCCAAGGTTCTGCCACATGGCCAATGATCATGATCGGACGGTCCATTTTAAAAGTCAAATTTAAATTTTTTTTACCGTTGGAAATCCAACGGTCTACAAAAAACTAGCCGTTGGAAATCCAACGACATTGAGAGGGTCACGTCGCCTCCTTCTGGGTAAAGCACAAGTGGGCTGACAGCGGGCCCTGCTACCTGCACCCTTGTCCCGTACTTGCACCCACTCATGAGTAAGCTGCACGCACCAGGCAAATAGCCTGGCTCCTTGATCAGTCAATTTTGGGCTGGCCCAAAGACCAACTTGGGCTAGGTACCAGGCAAGTTGCTGGGCTGGAGTGAATTAACAGGGTGCTAGCCTGGTTTTTTGATTGGGTGCTGGGCTATTCCACCTCCGGTGGAACTTCTCTTAAGGAATCTTATAAGGGTGATGGAAAATGTATTTGCCAGTCCAACATATATATGATTAATTCTTATATCTGCAATTTTCGGGAAAATGAAAAAGACTGTATTGTAAGAGACGCATCTCTATAGTTGTACAATGATGTATTATTTTTCTCCACACTCTTGATAAAGAGAGTTTTGTTGTCGTCCTCTAACATCCGAGGCTTGGAGAAAAACACCAGCTCAACATTTACAACTGGTGTACTGGAAATCTCGAAAAAAAATATCTCATAATAGCGAACTAATTAAGATTAGGAAAGTGTTTTGTGATAGTTTAGTGCTAATGATTCCTTTTCAATATACATCATTCGATTAAGAGCATTTGACGAAGCTTAGATGTTCTATAGTGTTACTTTGACATTGTTGGAACATTTGCTTAGAAACTTGTCTTCAGGATAGAATATCGAACACTTACCTTTATCAATTTCAAAATTTTCTAACACGTAACGATTGGCATTTGGCATTGTCTATGAGGGTTTCTATGCATTATATTTGTGTAGTTAATTGCATAATTATTTATGAACTACTGTGTCGTGACTAATATAGAAATTAATTAGACGTTATTTTTTTTTTATATAATACTTAGGTACTTACTAGTGAGTATCTTATATTTTTTTATTTAGCCCAATAAAAAGATATTACGTGTTTCTTATTTTTCTAAAGTCCAAGAAAAATTAATTAACATGTCTATTACTTTTTAAAACATAAACACGTGTTAAAATATCATTAGGTCAAAATAAAAAAAATGAGTATATAGAGTACTCACTAATGAGAGTACCTAAATATTATGTTTTTTTTTTTAAAGAGACACTTCATTTACGTCCCGGAAAATAATGTTGTGTTTTTCAATGGATGGATGCATTAACGAAGCCCACCAGGCATTGGACCACTTTACCGGACGGATAGTAGGATACACTCATTTTATTAGGCTTAAGGCTACATGTAAATTACGTGCTTATCAATTAATAGATAAAGGACCTCACGTTCCCTTCTCAACAACCACCCTTTTAAAATCTGGTGTGCGAATCAAATATCAAGCCTTGATCTCGTAATTATTGAGTCCAGGAGAAAATACTATTTCTATCATATATTTGTATCATTTTTCTAATAAGGTCTATGTATGTTGGCGGGCTCTATTTCGATTAGAGAAATTGTATAAATGATAGTACAAATAGATGGTAAGTGTAACACTATTTTTTTTTTTTTGTTTTAATTGATTTCTTTTCATTTGTTGGTAATAAAGCCACACTGCAACGTTTTCAAATTTGTAATGTGTAGCATGGAAATACTTATGCATTAGTATATAGGTTGCATTGCAAATGACTCTTTACCACAGTGGTGAAAATGTGTTGAACCCTTGCAGAATATATATAGGTTGTGTTTAATAAATTGTTGAACTTTTTAATCTTAGTTTGTTGTTTGAGGATTATTCCCTCATTAAAAAAAATTCTGGCTTCATCCATGGATGGATGCATGTAAATCAGCAAATATAAATTTCGGTGTTGCTCCTCACTACTTGAGCTAACCCCTAAAAATAAGGGCTTATGACATGAAACTCTGAATTTCAGTTCCATATATGGGAGTAGTTTGTGTCCTTTATCTCTAAAGTGCTAGTCGGACATTGTTGAACCTCTCGTGCTGCATATGGTAGGATCATTACTATTTCAACAATGTCACTATTATCTGACCGGAAATGGCAGGAAAAGAAGTAATTTTCATGGATCAAATAGTCCCATTCACGGGTGAAATTTACTGGGGAATAACGTTGTTCATCCATTCCTATTTTCACCTATCCTGTTACCATGCCCTAAAGATGGGTAAATCCACGGCCCCAAAAATTTCTAGTCACATACTGTATACATATTTCCGTTTACTTTTGTGCTGTTCTTCTGTAGAATGTTTTCTCATATAAATTTTACATCGTCGTACATTCATAGGTCATAATTTCCAAATTTTCATACCACCAGACCAAAAAGATAGCGTCCACTGTGTTAAAAGATCAAACGTAGAAATTGAGGCACACCCTCGTGCATGGAATAAAGCCA